ACGTGTCAGCTTCTGCAGTGTAGATCAGAGTTTTGGGTGTGTGAGGTGGGGGGTTTGGGAGGGGGGGTTCTTTTTGGTGCTCCCTTCAGAACCCTTACATGACACACAGCTGTATTTTGTAACAGTGAGAAGTGTTAGACGCTGCCTTAAAAGTAGTCGCTGGCGAGATGTGGCCGGTGGAGGTGTCGCTGGTCTGGATACGACCTTCTCTTCAAGCTTAATCATTTGGAGAGGAATCACTTTTTTGGGAGGTGGGAAAATTCACTCAGATGTTTAACACCAGATTTTAGAGGAGAGTTTTGCTATTTATTTGTGTTATTTAAAAAATAAAAAATAAAAAAACAACCAACCAAAAAATTGCAACAGTTGTAATTGCAAGACTAAACCTGTAGGTGGCACCATTTCGAAAAAAAGATCATTGTATGCCGAATGCTACTATTTTAACTATACGGTTGTCAGCATCATCATCACTGCTGGTGATGCTGCTGATGATGATGATGATGATGAAGGGCACTATGTGTGGTTTTGATGGTCACTGATGCTGTGTTCAACTCTTTTACCTCAACTTGACTGTTTGTTTGTGTATGAGAACCTGTGTGTGTGCGCGTGCGTGTGTGTGCATTTAATGAATGCCCTCTTCTAGAGCTCATACTTCAATACCTCAGGGCAGCAGCCTGTCTGTATTATTCACTCTGTACACCTGGGGCCCGGTAGGGGGCAGTACTGACAGCAGCCTCCATCTCCTTACTGAATGCTACTTTGCTATTGGTGTTGCATTTTTAATAATTTTCTTCTACTTTTGTCGGTAACTGCAGCAAAGTGTCGTCACTCAGGAAGCTGTGAAGTTGAAAGTCTGCAGAACTTTTTTTTCTGTTTGTTTGTTTGTTTGTTTGTTTCTCGGCTGATTTGAGTTAATCCAGTTTAATTGTTTAAAAAAAAAAAAGAAGACTAACCTGATCTGTGTAAAAACAGGTGCATATGCAAGTGATTATCAAATACCTCATTTATCAATTTTATGTTGTTGTTTTTGGCTTGTACAATGCTCCGTATATTAATTCAACCGTGGGGTTTGTGCATATTTTTGTACTGTTATTATTATTATGGACATGATAATAATGATATTACTGATATTAAAGTTTTCTTCTTTGATTAAAGTTAACAAAAAAAAATGGGACAAAACACACGAATGCTTGTAAAAAACCGGTTTGTGCTGATTGTATTTAAGAGGAGCACTTTTCAAAGTGGTTTTCACACATTCAGTTTTGTTCATTAGTAATATAAAGATATGGTTCTCAGGGCTTTAAACTTGTATGTCATGATAAAGTTTTACTTTATATCTTATTCACTGTGTGT